CAACTCCTTGTGAGCGATCTCCGAGTCATCGGATACCTGCAACGCAGACAAGCAGAGAAACGCGGACATAACGAAAACAGGCTCAAAAAAAACTGGGTCATTTTTGAAGAAATTTCTACCCGTCCAGTGTAAATGCGTTTCGGATCGCTGATGCGAACACTCACAGGCACAGTAATCAGTGCACAGTATACTGAAAGAAAAAAGGCTACCTGGAATTGAAGAATTTTAGCGGTTCCTAATGAAGACTTGATCGCAGAGGCGGATGATGCATAAACCATCTTCTTCTTTATTGGTGCGCCATCCGGACAGAGCTGCAACATGCTCTTCTTCAATTCCAAAGCCAGACTGCACAAACTGCCCAAAAAGGAGGCACGAATGTTCAACGGGGGGAAAATAATTGGCCAACGCAAAGGCTGCCCGTGCGAAGGTGCATTTTTTGCATAGTTCCCCGCAGTTTTTGCCGCTACTGCCATCGGTTTTTTTCAGCAGATGTTTCTAGCTAAAAAAAAATTAAGACTGGCTGCCAGAACCGGCAGGAAACACCTGCTTAAAATTTCAGCTTTCTAGTTTTCCTGGCTCCTGAATTAGCAACTTACTGGAAGAAAACTTTCACGAGCCTGCACGTAGGTACCACACATACCCTATGTCTGGGTTTGAGCTCACTGAGACTTACTTGAACGGGGAACATCTTAAAACTACAGTCTTTCAGCTTTTCACGTCCTCAAGTTATGAAATTACTCGAGCAAAACTTTGGTGAACCCGTGCGCAGGTACAACGCATGACCGAGGGCTGGGTTTGAGCTCGTTGAGACTAATGTGAACAGGGAAAATCCCCTTAAAATTTTGGCGGGCTTGTACTCGAGTGCCACGCTTACCCGGGAGCTGGGTTTGAACTCATTAATACCTACTTGGACGGGGAACATCCCTTTAAAATTTCAGTTTTCTAGCTTTTCTGGTTCGCGAGTTAGCATCTTACCCGTAAAAAACTTTGGTGGGCTCTTACGTGGGTAACACGCGGGTGAGACCGCCCATTTTGAAGATATGGGTCCGTACGTGCATGTAGATTAAGTCCCCAAACTTTCAGCCTTGTAGCTTTTGTCGGTCTCGAGATGAAAAATCGGTACAGAGGCCTTGCGTACACACAGACACATACACACACACAAACACAGACACACACACACACACATACAGACAACCTCTCGTCAATATGCGCTTTCCGCATTGCATAGCTGCAAAAAACGCATAAAAAAGCTGAAGCGGAGCTTCAGAGACGAAAAGGAAACCTGTATGAAGACGATTTTATCCATCTTCGAGGTGCCTGCGCCAGGTCGATTGCACGAGAATTTGAAATCAAATACAGCATAGCGGCAGTCCGTAAAACCATTTGTTCGTTCTCTCAAATCCTTCACGAACGCTTCATAGGCTGTTTTCGAGTTCTCGTCATGATCGTCGCTTGTAACGCCCAGCTAGAAGCACGCTCGTCTTTCACAGCCAGCAACACAACCCGTCCCAGAAGCCTCCGAACTACTACGAACATGCATACAAATGCGGCTGGCCAGCGGCGCCACATCCACACAGAACAACATCGCATTTCTCATAAAACACAGACTCTTACACCGACCACTTCTGCTCATCTCACAGCGCCCCCTGCACTAGCAAGGAACTTTGCAGCCCGGCAGCAAGTTGCAGTTGGCCTGGAAGGCATAAACTGCCCTCTGCTGCGTGGCAGTCACGGCTGAGCAGGACACGC